GGGGGGGGCGGGAGGCGGAGAGTGGGGGAGGGAAGAAGGAGGAGAAGGACGAGCAGGAGAAGTACGAGCGAGTCAGCGGGCCCCCGCCCACTCCCACCCTCCCCCATACACGAACAAGCAAGTGTGGCGCAGTTTGATGTTGGGATTGGAACGCTCTCCCGCCTAGCGAACGGAAGGCGCTCGCGCGCGGTCCTGCTTCCGACGACTTGGCGAAGGGCGGGAGCGGCAAAACGCGCCGCGCCGACGCAGCATTGCCACATTCACGCACAAATTGCGCTGCGCTTGGGCGAGGACAGCATTTCTCGCGCGGCCCCGCCGCTAGTGCCGCTGTCATGCGATTCGACGCACGGGACATGCGCCGCGCCCACGAGGGAACGCCACTTCCAGGCCAAGTGCGCACGTGGCGAGGGCGACAAGACGCCGCTCACGCGGGGCATCAAAACTCAGCGAGTCACAGATATTCACCGCACTGAGGTGCCAGCGCCACTTTCAAGCGAAATCTGCGCGGCGCCGTTGCTCGAGCAATATTTTCGTCTGCTCGCGCGTTTGCGATTTGGCGCGCGAATCATGTGCGCCGCGTCCACGCGGGAGCCCAACTCCCCCGAAAAATGGGCGCGGCGCCGAGGCGAGAGTAACATTTCGCCCTTTCGCGCGGGATGCGCGCCCCGCGACCCACTCTTGCCACGCATTTGACAACGTGGACGCCAGAACGTCCACGTTGAGAGCAAAGACGTCGGATGTGTATTGGTTCGAAATAAGTAGGATGGGACTCCCCGATGTTGCTGTTGCCAGCTGGCTAGGTGGCCAAGCAGGAGCTTATATGAATAAGAGAGAATTGGGGGGACAGAGGGTGAGGGGCGAGGGAAATATTGTGTGTGAGGGAGGGGAAGAGAAAGAAGGGGTGGGGGGGAGGGCAATACGGGGTGGGGGGAGGAAATAGAAGTGGGGTGAAGAGCGGAAAAGAGGGGAGGGAAAAAGAAGGGGGAGAGGTGAGGGAACAAACATGTGGGGTGATTGACAAAAGATGTGCGATATAGATAAATGCATGGTTCAATATGTGTGTACACACATATATATATATACACACATGTATGTGCATACACATGTATGTAATACTTTTATATGTGTATATATACATCCATATATATATATGTATACATATGTATATGTATATATACATGTGTGTACACACCTATATAAATATCATATATATATGTGTATGTATATATATGTATATATATCATATATAGATATAGCAGGAGCGATCCGAGAACGGGGCCCCAACCCATTTAAAGGGAACCAGGCCCAGAGCCTAACCCCGAGACACCTCAGACAGGGGACCCCTAGAGGGCTCTCACCTAGACGCTGCGCGTTCTGCTTCACGCCTTGCCAAGACGCGAAGCGCTTGTATATACAGCAAACAATGTGTCACTGAAAGCCGTCAATCAGAACTCACATGTGAATCAATCTCCTTTTTTCAGGCTGGGCCCTCGATTGGTTACTTGCAATATTCTTCTCGCAATGTATATCGTGAAATAGGCGGCCAGCCATCAAAAGAAACTCCCCGCTCTTGACCTGAAACAAAATGTCTGACATTCGAAGATCAAGCAACATCGTTCGGCTAAGTCGCCCCCCTCCACCCGCACCCGCCCGCGGTCGAAAACCATCTAGGAGACTGAGTCGACGCTCGGGGAGTCCTCGGCGTCGGGCTCGCTGTCGTAGTTCCCGTCCGTAGGCTCGGCGTCGGACTGCGAAGCCACCGCCGAGGCAGTAGGTGGAGGCCCGTTCACGGTTCGCGGCCACAAGTAGGAGATCAAACGATTGCCCCACTTCAAAGATCTGGCCAAAATCGTCGGGGATACTAGTGCAGGTGCTGCGTCCAGAGCAGCCCTCGATAGGGATAGGTCAGGTTTGTCCATGGTAGCGTGGATCGCCTGCTGTAGCATTGCCGAGATACGTATGTGTTCCGAAGTCACGTCCGTAGTGAGGTCCCACAGCGGATTGGCCCACCTGGCGGTGTACGTCACTGACGCCGCCCCCTACGCTAGACACGTGGCCTGTGTCGAGCCAGACCAGCCACACGTCGAGCGCCGAATAGGCCGATCCGCTGTGAAAATGATGCCTGTGAATGTCCATCACAGGTCTGGTAGGAGACGCAAACAGGGTGAGGTTCGGCAACGTCTGCTGCCAAAAACTCGGGCAGGTTCATCAGCGCCCGAGCTTCGGGCGTCGACGGCAACTCCGCTGGGTCGTCGTCTCCCGAGAAAAAGAAGCGGCCGTCACTGCTGCTGACCGAAACATTGGTGAGGTCGAGGCCCTCCCAGGCGGTCTCGGCCAAAAAGAGTGCAGCGTCGGTGATGGCCGAGAAAATCTCTGCCGCACTGGACGACATGTTGGCGCCTGCTCCCAACATGCGCCCTGCAGCGCCTCCGACCTCCTCTGCCACGTCTGCTGCCACTGTCACCGTACGCGCCAAAAGCGGACTCCAGGCGGCCGGAACCAGGGCCACCACGAGGACCGCACACGTCAGGTTGCTTGCGTAGCCCCACCTGGCCGCCCTGCCCCAGCACGTCCACCAGGAGCGCCGGCGGCCAGGGGGTCAATTCGGCGGGCGCGTCGCTCCCGCCTTGGCGGTCACCCAGTGCTGCACGGCTGGCGGGGCCATCCCGCCTGGCGTGTCCCCGTCGCCTGGCGAAAGAGGTGACGGAGAGGAAAACGGAGTCGCATGAAGCAAAATCTGCTCGGGGACTATGAGGAGACCACCCCGTTGGTAGATTGCACTCGGACTGGATAAGATTCAAAAGCTTCCTGTATTTCTCGAGGGCGCATGGGAATTGGCGGCCACCCGGGGCCGCGTGAGCCTTGAGGAGCCTCGGGGTGCACACGAGGATCGTATTGTCGGACTCCAAGTTAGCGTTGGATTGGGGCCTCTTGGCCTTGGTGTCGGTCTTCATGCCGAGGCCCTGCCGGTACCCAGACTCCTCGGGGAAGACGAGATCCGACGCGACGACCCCCAGCATCTCGCTAGGGCGCATCCCCACTTTTCCCTGCAGCACGATACCGACACCCAGCCTGGGCTCGCCACGGGCACTGAGCTGAACGCTGACGAACGCCTGGGCCGTGCTCACCATCGGGGCCGCGTGTTTGGTCTGATGCTTTAGCTCCCAGCCGCGCAGCGCGGCATGGCATCTGCCCAAGCGGTCCTTCCGCCGCGGGAATTTGAGCTCGACGGCTGCGACCAGGCTGGTGAAGTGGCTCTTCGAAAGGGCGGAGGTCTCCTTGTATTCCATCAGGGTGTCACCCCATTCGTTCGACGCCCAAGGGGGCGCTCCCTCCGCCAAGCACCACTCATAGAACTCAGGTGCTCGAAGCCGATAGGTTAGCAAAGTTGACGCTTGCACGCGGCCCTCCAAGCGCGGGCCGCCTTGCACTCGAGGGCCCAAGGTTAGCACTGCACTGCGCGCGACACGCGCGCCTGATCTTCAGGCACTGGGGCTCAGCGCCCCTCTTGACCCTGACCACATCCTCTCGCTCTCGAGAGGCCATCCGCGGGCATCCTCTCTGTCTCTATCCAGGGGAGGTGCATCCTGATCTCCGACGCACTCGACAACGCACACCTCATCCTCGTAAGTAATTGACTGGACCTGCTGTGGATCGACCCTTCGCCGCAGCCCCGGCAAAGGCCACGTTGTCTTCCAGGTTGAGCACCTTGGACCGACGTGCCTCAGCGACCACTGCCAGTCGGGATGGGACGCGCAAGGCCGCTCGCCCTTCGCCCAGCACGATGTGAGCAGCTCGCTCCCAGCGCCCGGCCTCAGGCACCCGCTTCGCCTCGCTGTCGATCCAGCCCCTGGCGATGGAGCTGACGGGCAGGCGTGGCTCTAAGGAGGGCCCCCTCTCCAGCTCAGGAGGAAAAGAAACACACAGACACAATTAATCCTCGATCCCCCAGAAAATATGGGAAAATATGGAAAGTGGTGGGGGAGACAAAAGCCCAGAAAATATATGAAAATATGGGGAATATTTTTATTTGTGTGTATTTATTTGTGTGTTTTAATTTCCCTTCACCAGCACCTTCTGCAGTTGGCCTGGCTTGGCGACCGCCGTGCCGGGCCTCGTGCCCGCACACCACAGCTCCTCCACCTGCGCACGGCTCGCGGCGGCCACGACCACGCCGGAGCCGCCCATGTCGAAGTCCGGGGCACCCTCGGCGTCGGAAGCGACAAAGCACCCCGAGCAGCGGAGCCCCGAGGTCCGCGCACAAGCCCATGATGCCCCTCTGCATCGCTATCGCCTCGCGTCGGGCCGAGGGCCACCACCTGCGCCAGCGGCGGCCCTCCTGGCGCGTGAACTGGAACAGGTGCGGCGGAGCCGACAGCCAGTGTCTGGCTAGCAACGCGGCCCAGATCCAGACGCCCAGGACGGACGCCAGGTGGTCCAGGTGCACCCATTCCCGATCGGTCATCACCTTCAGCGCCTCGCACAGCAGGGCCGCCTTCCGCCCCGGCACTCGCACCCGCGCTGGGCACGACTCGATCTCGTAGCCCACGATGCGGTCGACCAGGCCGTGCCCCCTGCGGTCTTTCACCACGAAGCCGACGTTCTCCAGCGCGTCCCCCACCTGGTGGACCAGCTCGTTGACATTCGCTTCGCCAGAGCCCCTGAAGCCCCCCTCGGCGGAGATCAGGCCGTCGTCGATGTGCAAGTAGAAGCTCGTGTCCGACGGGCCCAGCATCACCCCCCTCTCGCGCGAGGAGGCCTCGTTCAGGAAGTGGATGGTGCCCCTGTCCAGCTTGGCCGAGAAGCTCGAGATCTTAGGACACCGAACTTCAGACCCCTAGTGGCCCGCGGGGCCCGCACCATCATCCGCCATGTCCGTCAGTGTCCTCGCGATGCCTTCCGCAATCCACTCGCACAGGGCTGGAGGATAGGCGGCCAGCTTGGTAGTCCGGAAGGTACCGTTAACCTTGCCGTAGCTCTTCTCGCGTGAGTGAGCCCCG